ACATGTTTCCAAAAGAAATAATACCAAACATAACTTAACTCAACTCATCTTTCAAGCATAATCATATTTCATGCTAAGCTACTCAAATAGCCAATCTTTCCCCAATTCTCTAAAAAGGGTTAAAAGGTTCAAGCTTCCTCAAGAAGCTTAAAAAAGGTTCAAAAGGTCCAAGCTTCTCCAAGAAGCTAAAACAAGGGTTCAAAAGGTCCAAGCTTCCTCAAAAAGCTAAAACAAAGGTTCAAAAGGGTCAAGCCTCCCCAAGAAAAGCTCTCGGCCAGAAAAAGTGGCCGATTGATCAAAACAATGGCCGGCCGACCAAAAACAATGCCGATCGACCAACACCTTTGGCCGGTAGCAAGAAAACAGGGCCGGTGGCCTCAGGACATGGCCGGTGAGGTGTGGGGATGGCCAACAAGCTATTTCCCACCCTCAGAAGCAAAACAACAAGTGTTTGGTACAAAACCAAAAAAAAAACAAACGAGTCGAAAGGTCTTGAGGCAAGGCGCGTAGCCGAAACCTCCAAGAACTCAAAACGAACACAAACATGGATAATCATCGAGTGTTCAAACGATGACGTCAACAAACTATTTCCCACCCTCAGAAGCAAAACAATAAGTGTTTGGTTCAAAGCCAAGCAAAAAACAAACGAGTCGAGAGGTCTTGAGGCAAGGCGCGTAGCCGAAACCTCCGAGAACTCAAGACGAACACAAACATGGATAATCATCGAGTGTTCGAACGATGACGTCCAAGTCTTGAGGATGGTCAAAAATGGGGTGTCTACACTTATATTCACATGTTTCCAAAAGAAATAATACCAAACATAACTTAACTCAACTCATCTTTCAAGCATAATCATATTTCATGCCAAGCTACTCAAATAGCCAATCTTTCCCCAATTCTATTCAAATAACAATTTTCACAACCTTTCTAAAGTTAACTAATCAATATGATATTTACATCAAAAATTTTGAAACATGCCCAAGGGTATACTTTTAAGATTGAGAATTCAAAAGTCCTCATTTCATACTTTAATTTTCGCAAAAATGAGCCAAGACTAAATCATCAACACATCACTTTTCATAAAATATCATGAATATAACACTTTTAGAGTTTTTAATCTCAAAACAACTCTATAATATCAACTTAACAATTTACACCATATTCATCAGTATCAATTTATATTTCTTCTCAAAAATAAATTCCAAAACTCAAAAATGAGATAAATATTTCAACATTATTTTTTCAAAATAAATTATCTAACCATGATATGAGGTAGATACAACTCATACAACTATTTATTTTATTTTATTTTTGAATTTTTAACAAGTATTTTCAACACAAGATGATTTTTTCAAATCAATTTCAAAATAACAATATTCTTAACACTTCAGCCTAATTTTTCTTCCAAAAATTACCAAATAAAAATATGAAAAAAATATATATATGCAATACCTCTTATAATAACATGTTTTCTCAAAATAACCCCAATATAACTTTAATGTAAGAATATGAAGAAAGTCCCTACCTGAAATATGAAGAAAAGAAAATCTGAAAAGCAAACTTCACCCGATCATGAATCCGAGAACACCATTGCGTAGATCACGACGAGCTCTCCGACTTTCATTTACAAAGTTTTGGCAAAATCTCACTCTAAGGACTTCCATTTCAAACTCAAAGCTTAAGCAAAAATGGAGAAAAGAGAAAGGGAGAGAGAGAGAGATACACGCTGAAAGAGGGTGAAAGAGAGCCGAGCTCTCTGCCAACCAACAAAAGAAATGAAATGAAAAGAAAAGAAAAGGAAGTGGAAAAGATGGGTAGAACAAAAAGGGGGGCAACCCACGTGGGTTGTCTTCCCAAAATTTGTCTTCCCCAAAAAAATAATTTTTGTAATGATATTTTCAAAATTTTATAATATAAATTATTAAATGATATATTTTTCTCGCCACAAAATATAATATTTTTGTACACCACAAAATATAATCTTTTGCTCATTATGAAATATACACCCATTTTATTCACTATAAAAATATATAATTTTTCACCATATGGTACATACCATAAAATCAACTATCAAATATTTATTATAATACTATATAATAAATAATAACAACTCCAAAAGTGGTTACTACCAATCACGTAATTAAAAAGGACTAAATAGTTAAACATGAGTCACTAAATAAACTCAAATTAAATTAAATCTAAATCATGTGTCTCACCCATAAGTCAAACATGGTCCAATTATACACCAAAATAGACCCGACAAATTTATCTCAAATCATGGTCCAAATACCAAAAACTCAAATTTCAAATTCTGTTGTACACTAGATCGAATACCGATCAATCCGTGAATTTTCATAAAATAAATACTGGTCAATAAATTTTGAAATTTTTACCCAACGTGTTAAACTCGTATACGAACAATATATAAAAAGTTCATAATTTTATGAGATCGGGAACTATTTTTAAAAAATACAAAACCGAACTGTTTTCGCACTGAATTTACACAGTAGTCAAATCCAAAAATTTGCTCAATTAAATTATGCACGATCTATTTTTAAAAAAAAAATCTGGGTCGTCACAAAATTGGATAGCAGCCCATCAGCACATGATCAGTTGTTTCCATATCAGTGTTACAGAAAATACACAAGTTACTTATGTTGGCACCAAGTACACCAATTCTTTATAAATAAGAAGTTTTAATCCTACCCTTCCACACTAACCATCCGAAGAATTGAACTTTTGGGAGAGAGATGTTTTTCCAAAGCAAATCATGAATATAAGGATCTATACCCACTGCTGGTACATTTCTCTAGTATAATGAAGACACTAAGGATTGGCCTAATGAGGGAGCCTTCCATATGAGCCTCTCATCATGGTTACTCAACACAAGTATTGTTGCATTCAACAAAGAATATAATCTTGTAACCTCCTCCACTTCCCATGCAAATAATGGTCTTATAAATCTCATATTCCAACCCTCAAACATACCTTTCTACTCAATACAATCCCTCAAAGAGATTAGTTTGTCAGTTGACAGCATATATAATCTAGAAAAGTGTTCTAAAATTACTCTATTCCCAAACCACACATCATCCCAGAACATAACTCTGGCCCCATTACCTATAATTATCTTTGTATCATTGGCATAAAAATCCTTGAGACTTTGATTACAGTCAGCCACAATAAGGATATCCAACCGTGTCCTAGAGTACTTGATCTCAAGTTCCTTGATAGGAAACATCCACCACCTGAGATTCCATATTTGCAACAAATAATTCTTCACCAAAGGGCCTTAGTTATAGTTGCAAAACCTCCACCACCACTTTGCTAGAAGGCAATCATTGAAGTCTCTGATCGTTCTTACCTCCAGACCTCCTTGTTTTTTACTCTTAGTTACCTCTTCTCAGTTCACCAAATGTACCTTTCTTTTCACATCAAAACTCCCCCAAAGAAAGGAAGCTTGAACTTTATCAAGAGTCCTTGCAACACTTTCTGGTAGTTTAAACAGAGACATATAATAGACTGGCAAACTATAGATAATACTGATTTGATGAGTGTAAATCTGCCACCAAAAGAGAGAAATCTACTTTTCCAAGACGCAAGCCTCTTCTTGCACTTATCAATTATAGGTGCCCATATATTCTTTCTTCTGGGATTTGCACCCAAAGGAAGGCCTAAATAAGTGAAAGGTAGAGATTTCTTCATACAATTTAGTTTAGATCCAATATAAGTCACCACCTCATTTGGAACACCTACTCCACAGATATTACTCTTATGGTAATTGATCTTGAGTCCTAACATGATCTCAAAGCACCTGAGAATCCTTTTCACATTTAGGACCTCCCACCATTCAGCATTACAAAAACTATTGTATCATCTGCAAATTGCAAGTGAGATATGTTTTCATCACCATTCCCCACTGTCACTCTCTTTAGCAACCCCAATTCTTTTGCTCTAGTTAGCAAAAATATTGAAGCTGTCAGACAGAATAATAAATAAGAAAGGTGACAAAGGATCACCCTGTCTAAGACCTCTTTCAAGATTGAATTCATTAGTTGGGAAGCCATTTACTAGGATTGAGATTCTTGCAGTAGTCACACAAGCTTTCATCTATGTAATCCATCTAGTTTTGAATCCAAAATTAGCCAATATAGAGAATAAAAAATCTCAATTCACGAAATCGTAAGCTTTCTTGAAATCTAGTTTTAGAATCAAATTCTTTTTCTTCGTTTTCTTCCAATCATCCATCACTTCATTGACAATAAGCACCCTATCTTGTATATTCTTACCTCCCACAAAAGCATATTGCACATCCCCTATAATCTTTGGCAGCATCAATTTCAGCCTTGCAACAAGCACTTTTGCTAAGATTTTATAAACTGACCCAACTAAACTAATTGACATCAACTAAACAGATAGGATTATCTCTCCAAGGGATAAAGGCCACGTTAAGCCCTTTAAGTAACCTTCCTTACTCATGGAATTCCTTGAAAAAGCACGTGATCTCATTTGCCTAGTTGAAGTGTGCGTACTTCAAGATGTGATATTTACTTTTATTTTTATTATTTTAAAACTTTAAATATCATAATTTTTATTATACACATATATTGTTAATAAAATTTATATTTTTGAAATCTACAAAAAAAAAGATCTATCAAATAAGACAAATATTAAATATAAAATTTTATATTAATAAAATATTAATTTTTTAATTATATGACATTCTATTTGTTAAAATGAAAAATTTATTGAAATTTTTTAAAATTGAGAAATTTATCAGTTTTTATACAAAAGTGTTCTATACATTTCTTTTGCTAAAAAAATATTTTTTAAATATAAATTTATATTTAATATTGATCTTATTTGATAGATATCGATGAGTAAGTTCTAAAGATATTAATTTTATATAAAAAAAAAAGGGACAAACTTCACTTTATTTCCCTGTGGTTTGGGCTGGGTGCGAATTACTCCTAACATTCGAAAATCACCACATAGCCCTCATGCGGTTTGTGAACTAAAACGCACCGTCCACTTTTCCATCTAAATTAACTGATTGTGTAATTCAAACGTCCATAAAGAGATTAAGCTACATTTTAAGACCAAAGTACCCCCTTGGACATCATTAAATTTGCAAAAGAAATACAGAACAAATGCTTTGCTCTACTCATTCTCCACTGTCTCTGGTGACCTTCATCTCCTCCATCTCCGGCGTCTCTCACTCTCCTCCATCTCTGGCGATTTCCTCCATCTCTGGTTTTTGTCTCTCGCGAGCGCTGCGATTATAGTGGTGGCTAGGGTGGAGATCGCGATCGCCGCTAAGGTAGAATTTTGAAGGGGTTTCAAGTGTCTCCGACGAAAGGTTAAGATTTTTTCAGTAATGGCATTGGAATGATAGGAAAAGGAGAAGTGGGTTTGCAATTTAAACAGCAAATGTATCTTAATCCTCAGTATTTTTATTAGATTATATTGAAATGGCTATACATTGGCAAATGGGTTTGCTATAGTATACTAGTACATAATATTAATAATTTTTTGATCCGGCTATTATTGATTGAATTTGTTGAACTAGTGAAGAAGAAAATAAAAGAGAAAGAGAAGCATAGAAAAAAAGAAGACAATAAAAAAATAAAAATCAATTCACCAGAGTTCATGGTGTTGCCGACATTTGTTTAGATTTTAAATTGATTTGTAGAATATTGAATGATTGGATAATATATATGCATTTACAAGTTATATATATACATATATATATACATATTATATATATATGTGCATTTCCTGTTGATGAGTGGTGAGAATGAGTGACCGGTTTTCTTGTATAAGTTGAAATGAAATTTGTTAGAGTCGGTAGCATGGAAGGAAGAAAAAAGAAAATAGGTGTGTGTATATATTTATATATATGCATATTTGCAGGTTTAATTTAAAAGAGAGAAGAGGAAGAAGATAGGGGTATAAAGGTAAATTTACACGTTCTGTTAACAGAAGTTAGTGTGCGTTTTAGTCCACAAATCACATGAGGGGGTTATGTGATGATTTCTGAATGTCAATGGAATGATTCGCACCCGACCCAAATCATAGGGGTAAAGTGAAGTTTGTCCAAAAATAAATATATAAAATAAAAAGGGTAAATTACAATTACACCCTTGAGATTTTCTTAAAATACAAATTGCCCCCTATAGTTTGGAAAATTACAATTACTTCCTTGTCAAATTTTTTATTTTACATAATTAATTGAAAAAGTGAAATTTCTAACTGTTCACCTATACAATAATAAAATTATCTGAATTATTAATTGAAATAAAATTTTAACATTATAAAAAAATGTTAATTAACTTGATGATTTATTAATAAAAGGACCTATTTGTTATGAAATTAGAAACCTTAGGGGACATGATGTAATTTCTAAAACTACAAGAGATAATTTATAATTTAAGTAAATCTCAGAGAGTGTGTTTGTAATTTACCCAAATAAAAATTATAACATTTTACATTTTAAAACACAAAAAACAAAAATAAAATGCCACATACGCTGGTGTACCTGCCCCAAGACAAAGAAATTATTCCATGGTCCTAGAGCAAGTCTAGAGTAGATTGTTTGACAAAGACATAATAGTCCTCAACCATTGGAACAAGTCTAAGTGGACTATATACTCTATTTAGAAATGACTAGTACAAATTCTTTTATCCCCCTTTCAATTTATTAAAAACAATTGTTGGTTCTCTCTTTGATTGATGAAGTAGCAGTATAATGTAGATAGAGAACCCACATCGTAGTCTATTTTATTGTCCTACTAACAAATGACTAGGTGCCTTCTATTCGGGAACATTGGTATTGGATCACAAATATATGAATCATCTGTGTCTAAATTCTTTGGTCTCTTTGTTCCAATGCACACTCAACTATAAATTCTTATGTTGAGATTCTCTTGTTTCGAAATCTCATATGATCCTATATATATACATATATATAACCAGCAAAAAAAAAAACCTTTATTGATAAATCAAATTCATACAAAATGGAAACAATACATCAATGAAAGCGATGGAGAAAGTGCCAAAAACATCATAACGGAACATAACTATCCCAATTAAGTTGGTACTGAAATGCACGCACAATCATATGCTAGCACAACCTCAATTTGGTGAGAAACCAAACAAATAGACAAGGACCGAGGGAAATAAAGACGAACAGCCAATACAAAGAAAGCATAGAAAAAGTGCATGACATCCCTGCAACAGATATCAGCAAACACACATTAGCAAGCTGCAACCAAAAAGAAAAAGAAAAAGAAAAAAAAAAAAAAAACACTAAGGATTGAACCTAATCTACTGAATATTGTTGATGATCTCCTGCACTATGTAGCAGTAGCCCTTGGATTGAGCCTTTACCCAAAGAGCAGTTCTAATCTTGATCAACTCACAGAGCTCCTCCAGATGCACTTGTTTCTCATTGAAAACTACTTCCTTTATGATTTTCCAAATCGCCCACATAATTGCCAATGGCAATGCCCTCCAGATTTTGTTCTCAAGTTTTCTTCATTTGAAACCCCTCCACCACTGTAATAGACCCTCCACATTTTCAGGAAGCACCCACTGTAGCCCCCACCAATGCATCAAATTTGACCACACTCTCCAAGCAAATTGACACCAAAGAAGCACATGAGAAACTGATTCCATAACAACTATACAGAGCACACAGATGACAGAGGCATTTGGCCCAAGCACTCCAATTCTTTGGAGAAAACTCGAAGTTTTTAATCTCCCCTTCCAAACCAACCATCCAAAAAATTTCACTTTTGGGGGAAATACATTGTTCCGAAGAAGATTAGTGACCAGAAGGGAGGGAAAAGATTCAGAAAGACAATAAAGAGAGAAAACACTAAACTCACATAATGGCGATGCCAACTATGTTAAGCAATCATCTCTGTTTGATAGGCCAACCATATTATGATTCAGAAAGGCATCCAATCTAACCAGTTCATCTGATTCCCATCCAAGTAAGGCTCTTCTGAACAGAACATGATATTCTAGTTTGATGAGCTCTCTTTTCTCTTAACAAGCACTCTTAAGGGGATTTCCTTTTTTACTTGATAGACTATAAAGCCTTGGAAATTTATTTTTAACACATAACGCTGTGTTTGGTTGGGGGATTTGGGAAGGGAAATGGAAAGGGAAATGGAAATGAAAGGAAAAGGAGAAAGAATTAATAGAATTCCAAATCCCAACTATGTTTGGTTGTGTTGGTTATAAAATAGAATTGATGTCTTAAAAGGTATCCTATTTCTTTATTTATTTCTCACCCCTTTCTTTTCCCATATATTTTTTATTATAACCAAACATAAATAGGATTACATTTCTCATTCCTTTTCCAAATCCCACCTCAAAAACTCCAACCAAACACAGCATAAATCTCTCAGCCAGAAGTCATTCCAGAACTGAGTTCTATTACCATTTCCTATAACTACCTGTGCATTTGCCATAAATAAATTCAAGAGCTGAGGGTTTGATTGCCCAATGCTAAGGATTCCATCCCAAAATTTTGAGCAATGGCCATTATTGGTTGAGAATGGAAGCCACTTCCCACTACTAGAGGGGTATCTACCACACAAAACTCTTTTCCAAAGAATGTTTGCTTCAAACCCAAACCTCCACCACCACTTGGAATAGAACAAAAAAAGATTTGAAAACATAGAAATTTTGCCCCAACTATGTAGCATATATATGATGAAGCTTCATTGACAGAACTGCTATTTTAACATCTTTTTTATTTTTTTAATTACAATTTTTGTCAATTATTTTTATTCATTTTAGGTCTTACTCAACTAGAAAGCTCAAAAGTTCAAATAAATTAGAGCAAATTTAAACAAATCCACATGTTAGGTTTTTGTAATTGGCAATCTCATTTAACAAAACTCCTTTCAGTTGTAATTTTATTTGATCTTTTATTTCAATGAGGCTATAAGTTTTTAGATGCGAATCAAACCCGAATTGTGTTAATGTAAAGGAGTTTGTAATCTTAATCTTAATCTTATTATGTTTGCCACTTCGCTGACTATGTCGGGGATCGAGTTGCCCGGTCAACTCGCAGGGGTCTAGGGGGCAGCGCCCCATGGCGGGTCTAGGGCAACGCCCAGGCGGGGTCGAGGGGCAATGCCCCCGAAGCAAAAAGTAAAATTGCAATTGAAGTTGTTTGACAACTCGAGCGGTCGATTGTGTGCTCGAGTGAAAATGCAATCATTTCAAAAGTTTTACTCTCCTGCAAAAGTACTGGAAGTTGTATTTTTACGCTCGAGTGGCCTTTCCTGCACTCAAGCATAGATCCTTGTTCTGACGCGTTTTAGTCAGACCACTCGAGCGTCCATTCCTGCGCTTGAGCGGAGATCGTGGTTCTATTTGTTATAAATCTGTGATTAATTCAGTTTTTAGGGTACGACTTCCAGATGTTCTTATTGGGTATTAGGGTTTTCATTTGAAGCTTCTTTGCTTGTTTCTTTTGATATCTGTGAGAGTTTATATCATGAATTGAGTGGATTATATCTGTCACAACCCAAACCCGCCCCTACAGATTTAGCGTCGTAACCGGCCAGTAATCCTAAGATTACCTACGACCTCTGAGACAGAATCACAAAATAAGGGACTAGAGATAGTAAATACATAAATAATAAGCGTCCAATGAGCTATGCAGACTTAAATGAAATAGAATATTTAAAACTTTATATATAACCATAACCAAACATCATTCTTACGTTATACCCACACACTTAACTATAGCATCTTAAGTACAGCCAACGAAACAAATCAAATCTTATATACAGAGACAACCAGAGCTTATAACATGCGACACTTCAAGAACCTCCACGCGAGGCACAAAAGTTGGCTTGACAAAACGGAAGTTAGACAGATGCCACTAGGCCTAGTCCTGCACACGCTCACCTACATATATATATATACAAACAGTGAACTAAAACTCAGTGAATAACATTAACGTAAAGAGGTTAGTGAACGAATTCCGAACATATTATATCCATAAAACATATCATAACAGAATCAATTCTCATATCCGAACATAATAATGGTATATCCAATAGAACATATCACGTCATTATCTGACTAGAGTAATCGGTTCTGGAAACTGATTAAACACATCACCATTTTGACAAGTGGCTAACGAGATCTTGTAATCATAGGTCTGTCATGGACCCGCACTAACACTACAACAAAATGCACTTTTGGCGACTAAAAAAAATTTAGTCTGCAAAAGTTGTGGAATTGGCGACTAAAAATTATGTTAGTCGGCAAAAATATAATATTTAACTACTAAATTTTTTAGCCGGGGATATATTGATTATTGGTGATTAAAAAGAAAATTAGTCGCTAAAAATGTCACAATTGGCGACTAAAAAAATATTTTAGTTGCTATATAATTAGTTTTGACTACTAAAATTATTTAGTTACCGAATGAAAAATAAAAAATTAATTTTTATCTTTGGCGATCAAAAGTTTAGTCACCAAAAAGTTATTTTCAGCGATTAAAATTATTTAGTCGCCGGATAAAAAAAAAAAATTTAAGTTTTACCTTTGACGACCAAACTTTTGGTTGCCAAAAACATTATTTTCAACAACTAAAAAATTTTTTAATCGCCAAAAAATTAAAACATTTAGAGAGAGATATTTTAAATTTTGGAGGATATAAAATTAAATTAATTGGCGACTAAAACCTTTTGTCGCGAATTGGAGCCATTTATATATTTTGTTTCCAAACCAAACCTAAACGAGCCAGCGTCCCTCTCTCTCTCTCTCTCTCTCCAACTCTGTCTCTCTCCCTCTCCCTCTCTGCTGCTCCTCTCCCCTCCGTCTCTCACCGCCGCTTCACCAGCCACGGAACAGTTCTCCTCCGCCGCTCCTCCTCACTTTCGCCGGCAATCGGAGCACCGATTCAACTTCTTGTTGGTCACCGTCGCCTGAGATCCATCACCCACGGAAGCTCGATTGGCGGCTCCTCCCTCATTCACATCTTTGGTTTCAGCTCTCTTCTTTATCAAGGTATGTATCCTTCTCAATCTATCTCTTTTTCCCCCTTCCTTTCCCCCTCTCTGCAACTCCCTTACTCTGTACCACCAGGTGAAACCTTCTTTCCAAACCCCTCTGCAAAACCCATATTTCCCTCCCTATGACCCCCTTTCGGCTGGATTAATTAATGAAATCAAGAATATATGTGTGTGTGTGTGTAGGGTTCTATTATGAAACACTGGTTGTATGTGATTGATTTTTACTCCAACAGCTTCTGGTAAAAATTATTGGAAATGATTTGGAAAAAATTTGAGTGTCATTCCAAGTGTCAAAAATGATTTTCCACAGGACTCCTAGACTACAGCTCAAATCATTTTCCATTTCACTTTTTGGTGCAGCTATGGGGCAGGTATGGTATTTACCAAACCAAACCAAACGACGCCTTAAGTCCCATCAAATGGGGTCGGCTACATGAATCATTCTTCTCCACGCGGCCCTATTAAAGGCCATTTCATTGGTCAAATTAAGTAGATTCATATCTCTATTTATAACGCTAGTCAACGTTAATCTAGGCCTACCTCGTCCCCTAACACTTCCATCTACCGTTACAGCATCGCATCTCTTCACTACTGCCTCTGTTGGTCTCCGTTGAATATGACCAAACCATCTCAAACGATTCTCTCTCAACTTATCTTCTATCGGTGCTACTCCTACCCATTCCCGAATACACTCATTCCTAATCTTGTCTTGTCTAGTCTTACCACACATCCACCTTAGCATCCTCATCTCAGCCACACTCATCTTATCTACATGTTGTTTCTTGGTTGCCCAACACTCCGTCCCATACAACATAGCTGGTCTAATAGCCGTTCTATAAAACTTACCTTTGAGGTCTAGTAGGTATTCGTTTATCGCACAATACCCCAGACGCACTTCTCCACTTACACCATCCCGCCTTAATCCTATGGGCCACATCTGCATCAATCTCTCCCGCTGTTGTGATAATTGACCCAAATAACGAAAATGTTCACTCTTAGGCAGTTCTTGGTTCTCAATCTTCACTTCTCCTCTGCTTTCATTGTTACTGTTACTAAATTTACACTCCATGTACTCTGTCTTAGTTCTGCTTATCCGAAATCCTTTAGATTCAAGATTTTTTCTCCAGATCTCCAACTTTGTGTTAACTCCTTTCTAGTCTCATCCACTAACACAATATCGTCTGCAAAAAGCATACACCATGGCACGTCATCTTAATATTTATCGTCAACTCGTCCATAACTAAAGCAAAAGATAAGGACTTAAGGTAGATCCTTGGTGTAACCCTACAGTGATAGGAAATTCATTTGTTTCTCCAGCTGGCGATCTAATAGTGGTCACCACCCTTCATACATATCCCTAATCACGTCAATATAGCCTTTTGTCACCCCTTTCTTCTCTAACGCCCACCATATTATATCTCGGGGCACTCTGTCATATGCTTTCTCAAGGTCGATAAACACCATATGAATGTCTCTTTTCTTTTCTTTATTACTTTTCTATTACTCTCCTCAAAAGATAGATCGCTTCCATTGTTGACCTCCAGGCTAAACCCAAATTGATTCTCTGACCTCTGTATGTCTCGCAATCGACGTTCCATCACCTCTCCCACATTTTCATTAATATGACACATTAGCTTAATTCCCCTATAGTTGTTACAATTCTGGACATCACCTTTATTCTTATAGATTGGCACTAAAATACTCTTCCTCCACTCATCTGGCATGTTCCTAGTCAACAAAAATTTTACTAAACAACCTAGTCAATCAAACAACTCCCTTTTTACCCAAACACTTCCAAGCTTCAATAGGGATATCATCAGGTCCTAAAGCCTTATTTTGATTTCATCTTCTTAAGTGCAATATACCACTTCAAAATTTCTAATCCTGCGATAGAACCTATAGTCTTGGTTTATCGTATTACTGATTATTTCTTCCCCTATTGTCGTACTTCCATGTTCCTCATTTAATAGTTTCTCAAATAATTCTTCCATCTTTCCTTAATCTCATCGCCTTCACTAATACCTTAGAATCCTTACTCTTGATGCACTTTACTTGATTAAAATCTCTTGTTTTCCTCTCTCGCATCTTAGCAAGTTTGTATACCATCTTCTCTCCCTCTTTACTATCTAGTCTAGTGTATAGGTCATCATAAACTTTCAACTTAATCTCTCTCACTACTTTCTTGACCTCCTTATTAGCCAATCTATAGCTCTTAAGGTTTTCCTCAGTTCTATCCTTCTGCCACTTTTTAAAGCACTCTTTTTTGCCTTAACTACCGCTTGGACCTCTTCCCTCCACCACCAAGTTTCCCTAGAGCTGGGTCCCGTTCCTTTCGACTCTCCAAGCACTTCCTTGAGATTCTTCTCACAATTGGCCATCGAATTCCATATAGTGTTAGCCCCACCTTCTAAGTCCCAAGTACCTTCCTTATCCATTCGATTCTTAATATTTCTAGTTTATCCCTTTTAAGTCCCACCATCTCGTCCTACGACGCCCACCATCCTTCCTAGCTTGGTATTGCCCTCTAAACATAAATCTAGTATCAAAATCCTATGTTGAGAGACAGACTCTCTCCAGGAATCACCTTACAATCATTGCATTTTAGGCAGTCTACTTTTCTCACTAAGAAATAATCTATTTGGCTCTTAACTAATCCACTCTTAAAGGTTATCAAATGCTCATCCCTCTTCTTATACATGTATTAGCCACCACCAAGTCAGAACCAACGCAAAATCTAAGATTCTCTCTCCAGCCTCATTTCTGTCACCAAAACCGTATCCACCATGCACCCTTTCATAACCTACTTTATCTATGCCCACATGGCCATTAAATCTCCACCTATAACCAGGTTCTCTCCTACGGGTATCTCCTGTAAGATCTCATCATTTGCTCCCAAAATCCCTCTTAGTCTGATCATCTAACCCTACTTGAGGGGCGTAAGCGCTAATAATGTTCACTATATTCCCTCCAATAACTAATTTAACTAGCATAATCCTATCTCCTTTCCTAATTGACCGCCACCACACTTTCCACAAGACCCTTGGCAATTATGATTCCTACCCCATTCCTGCGTCTATCCTTACCACTATAATACAGTTTAAAACCTGTATCCTCAATTTCCCTAGCTTTCTCTCCCGTCCACTTAGTTTCTTGTATGCAAGCTATACTAACTCTCCTCCTAATCATAACATCTACCAATTCCATCGTGCTACCAGTTAAGGTTCCTATGTTCCAAGTGGCTATCCTAAACCTATAGTCTTGGACTAGCTTCTTTACCCGCGCTCGTCCAGAAAAACGCGGAAACCTTTGCCCATTTTTCACCGCACCCAGGCGTCGATGCGGCGCCCCTTGCTCACTTTTCGAAACACCCGGAGGCAGGCGCAACGCGTCACTTGAGGGGAACGACCTAGCATTTAAACGATTCAAAGTAGGATTCATTTTCATAAGGGATCCGAGCGGCTTTTTTTACGTGTTGGCTGTCGGCTACCTAACACACAACCCTCCTCCTTAACCCGGGCTTGGGACCGGCGGAGTTGTTAACAACCCCGGCGGAGTTAGGTATGGTATTTAATTTAAATAATTATTTTTTTCCTCTATATTTTCCCAGAAAATGTAAACAATCTCTGATTCTTTCATAAGAAAATCCAAATTCTGAAGAAACCTAACTGCATCACGAAACCATAGAAATTTCTAGTCTCTTGGTTGTTTCTTATTTCTAATGTTTACTTGTGGATGATTTTTTTTTTCCTTGGTGTTCAATTCTATCAATGTAATGGTTCATTTTTCATGACTTCTTTAGGAATTGAGTCTTTCTCAAAACTGGGAGATTCAATATACTTTGAAGAAGTGGGCAAAGTTGCAGGGCTTTGCATCATCCAGTACATATCGAGCTCACTTAATTGGAAATCTGGACAGATTTTGCTAAATCAGAAAGTAGAGCCTGTTGTTGCATCGAATCCTTTCCTTCAAGTTGCGTTGACGGTTTCATCAGAGGGAAATTTTAGCTACTGTATATATACATGTATATATTAAGCCATTAGTTGCAGGAAACTTTTACTGAGGTGATGTTCAGCTTTAGAACCCCAATTATGTGGTTCAGAGTCAGAATCTTGTTTGAACCTCATTCCCGTTGAGATAGAATTCGATTTCAACTGGATGGGACCACTCAAACATATGAATTTGGTTCTCTTCTTAGGAATTAAATGGTTGAGTTTTTTTTATGGATATTTCAGTTTGGACTTGTGAGGATTGAAGAGTAAAGATACATGTTATTGGTGATGAATTGTTACTTTTGTAATAAGAATTTACTATATTTACGAGTTTAAGTGAATTTACGATATTTATGAGTTTAAGTGCTAGTACAATGTAGACATTTAAGGTATTGCAGTGCTCTCATAATATTTACTGCAACAGCTTCTGGTAATTGGAAATGAATGATTTGGAAATTATTGCTACTCAAACCTTTTGCTTCTGCTCTCATAATTTTTGCTACTCAAACCTTTTCAACGAATGATTTGGAAATGTTTTAAGTTAGAAGAAGTTTGAAAATGATTTGGAAATTATTTAAGTTAGAAGAATTTTGAAAATGTTGCTGCTTATGTCAAGGATAATTTTTTTTTTTGGGTGCAAGTTGCTGACCTTGATATCATTTGATTAGTAATGTTGGGGGTTTTGAACAAGATCTGGTTGAGACCTTTTTTTTTTTTTTTGGGTTTGCAGCTCAGGTGTTCAATGAAATGTCTAAGTTCACTCCACACCAAATTTTGGGTTTTGTTTTATTGTTTGGTTTTTTTTTTTGAAGATTGAAAATGGATTTTGGTTCTTAATTAGGTTTTGTGGTGTTTTTTTGTATTCACAGGCACAATATATACTTGTTTGTGTTCTTTTAAAGAACAGCTTCAGCAACATGTCAGAGTCCATGCTGTTGAACATGTCTGGATTTTCGATGAACACTCTCGAAATTTTTTTCGATCAAATCCAGGAAAGAATTCTCATCTATATATAAATACATTGTATATGCCCTAATACTACCTTTGTTCTTCATGTTTTATATCTGAATGTGATCAGATTGAAGTCGAATGTGCCTTTTGTGATTTATTTTCTTGAATTTTTTTTATAAATATTATATATGAATTACTGTGCTTCGTTTGTGGAGTTAAAAAAAAAATGATCAGCTTTATATTTGTTTTCTTAATGTTTGTGTTTTGTGGATACTCTCTCAATCAATTTCTTCTTTTTTGTCATCCAGGTACTTTCTTTATATATATCTATACCACATAGATTACATATACGAAGGTAAGTTTCTTTGCTCCTCATAAATCTTTGTCTTCATTTATTTATTCTAAGTATTTTATATAGATTCGGGTCATTCTTTTCATTTGTCTTGAGATCCTTGATTGACCTCTGATATATGCTTTAGGAAAATTGGGTCTTCATTTATTTGTTCTAAGAACTTTTATTTGATATTGATTTAGGTTGTTCTTTTCATTAGTCGTGAGACCTTTGATTTTAAACTCTGATCTATGCTTAGGAAATTTGGGAATTCATTTATTTGTTCTGAGCAACTTCTATTGGATATAATAATTACTAGGAGAAATCTACAATGTGTGTGCACCCCTAAAAAGGGTATATCTAAGAAGATTTACAATTTTTTGTTGTGAAAATTATTAATATTTGTGGTGATTTATGCCAATCTGTGGTCAAAGTTATAACTAACGAATTTATGATGTGCACTCTAAAGTAAAGGTAATACTTTTTGCAGTGAATGTTATGTGATAAAAATTATGTCATTTTATAATTCAAGTTATAAATCTTTATGGTATAGTAGAACTTGCTTGTTTTTGGTAATGTCATGACATTGACAGTAGTCTACATCCATGATTGGTGGTTGGTGGCAATGGTGTTGCCGAATCACAGTGAGCTATCCCCACGCCACGCCTTTTAGGGTTTCTGGATCACCATTTCACCACCACTCTCCAGAACAATCAAAGTTCATCATTATCGGTATTTTCATTGTCATTATCATACAAATACAATACAGCTTGCGATCTGGAGGCGAATTTGAGCACAGAGTGTGCTGAATTAGACGCTTATCTCCAACACCTACACCAAAACCTAGCCAAGCTCATAATCTCATGGATTTCTCGATCAATTGCAGCAAAATCCACTCTCCACAAGCTCAATCTAACAACAATGTCCCCATATCAGTACTACTCACTGAAACCCCCATTTGATTGAAAGGCTTCTTTCTTACCATACTCTGTTGTTTTAATTTTTGGGTTTGATTTTTCAGATGGGATTCAAAAGATGCTGAGCAAGGATTTGCCTCAGCTTGCAATGGAATTGAGCCGAGTTGAAAATATTCGCAGTTATGCTGGTGAGTTTTGGATTTGTTGCTTTGCTTATTTTACGTATATATTTTTTTATTGATCTATGCTTTTTATCTTCTATGTATGTGTACTAATATATAAATTTGGTTGTTGTGACATCAATCAGTCTCTCTGATTCTGAAATTTTGGTTCTTAAGAATACACAAATCACCATGGTTGGGATATACAATGCCAAAATATCAACTTTTCTTGGTTTGTCTTTTTGATTGATGGGTTTGCTTCAGTGGACTGACTACTGACTTCAATGTTTCATCTTTAAAATAAAAAATAAAAAAATTTGGTGCTACTGTAAATTTCTCAAGTATTCTTTCATTGTTAGTTCTCGATTTGGCATTACACATTTTGTGGACACATCCATTTCATAGATTAGTTTTTGTTTTTTAATTTCATGTATTGGTTTCTCAACATGGTTTACAAGGTCCGGCACTTTGTTTTTGTTTTTAGTTTCTCAACAAGGTTAACAAGGTCCGGCACCATAATATTATCTTCCATTGTGATTTTGCTTTGAGTGTGATTTTCATGATATATATATATATATATATTTTGTATTTATTTGGGAGTTGATAATTCTTATGATGTGATCAAACACATGTGCTTTCACCTTCTTATATGCTAATAAGGGCTAGCAGTAAAAAATTGAATTATATAATGTGAGAAACTTGTAAGCCTTATAAACCTTAGCATAGAATTTTGTTGAAGGACCTCTGTATTGTATCAACTATTATTGGTTTAAAGGTTTTAGTCTTTTATAAACCTTGGTTGGGTCATAATTAGGCTACATATTGCATGCAGCGCTAGGTAGGAATATTTTATTTTGTCACATAATCTTCTTATTCTTTTTTTCTCTGTTCTTTTAAGAGTTAAATCGCTTTGTTTATGAATTGTTTAATGATATCAACCCTTTCTTTTGAAAACTAATTCTGCCTACTGAGAGATTTAATTATCGTTTTGCATTTACTGGCTTTTGGAAGTGGAGTTGACCAAACTTATCATGGAACTAAGCTCAAAGATCAGAAGTTTTGTAGGTGAATAATTTGTATATTTGAAAGAGTTGGATATTATGACTTGTACATGGTTAAATTTTGTATCTAGCTTGTTTATAAGCTATCTTTTTTGGACATAAAGATTGCATTTTGATATTTTAAGATGATGCAATTATTAAATTTGGTACTTCAATGAAATTTGTGGGAATATTTTTTTTTTTCTTGATAATATATAGTTTTCTTGAGTTATGAATGAATTATACAGTTTGCATTGATAATAGAATATAATTTACAAATTAATGAAAAATATTCAATTTATGCATTTTAAAAAAATTAATAAATAGAGTTTTTGGCGACTAAATATTTAGTAGTCAAAAAATAAAAAGGGAATTTGTTGGCGACTAAATAGTTAGCAGCCAAAAAAAAAAGAAGAGTTTTTGGCAACTAAAAAATTAGTAGCCGAAAAGGAGCACCATGGTTTTAGTGACTAAAAAATTCGTAGCCAAAAATGAGTGACGTTTTTAGCGACTAAAAATTTAGTCGCTAAAACAAAACGTAAATTTATTGAAAACTTTGAGCGACTAATTTTTAGTCGCCAATTGCCGACTTTTGGCAACTAAAAAAAGTTAGTCGCCAATACCTTTCCTTTTGGCGACTAATTGTTTTGTCGCCAATTTAGGACTTTCGGCGACTAAATATTTTTTAGTCGTTAATACATTCCCCGACAATCTTCCAGCGACCAAGCCAGCGACCAAACTATTTAGTCGGGAAAGTTTTTCGGCAACTAAAAATATGACTTTTGGCGACTAAAAATTTAATCGCCAAAAGTGCAATTTCTTGTAGTGTAACGTGCCATCCTCCATGACTTGAGACTATTCTTGGATGCCATACTAGATTCGCAAACCGGATATTCGTTCACAGAATTAAAATTGCATTTTAGACACGTCATATCATATAGCATTTCGTATAACATTTCAAGTATAGTGCATATCAACATATCTTTACAAAAATGTTATTTACAGTGGGCTTTCAGAAACAGCCCAGAAACGGTTAATCAATATTCGAACGTTGACCTACAAACACAAAAGTACATAGCACAAAACATATCTTATCATTACACATTCATATAGCCATTACGGTTTAGCTTTCTGTACATTGGTTTCTAGTTCAATACATTTCTCATAACTTATACACGTGAATCACATTCTCAGATCTCGAATTTGTCTCATATTTTCTAATTCAATTACTCATGTCATTTCTTAGCTTATTACTCTTTAATGACTCATAATTCATGCCTAAATATGCTTATAAAATGATGGGAACAAAAATATGAACACCGAATGTCTTTCAAAAATATGCTGAATTTGGCTTGGTTGCTCGAGCAGACTGCTCTCTCTGCAAAAGTATTGGATGGTCTCGTTCTACACTCGAGCCACAACTCCTACGCTTGAGCGGTCCCATAATACAAAAAAAGGTTTGCTCGAGCCACCAAGTCGTCGCTCGAGCGGTCTATAATAGACTGGGTGCTCGAAATGTTCGCTCGAGCGACAAATCCTTCGCTTGAGCGACTTGCAAAAATTTTGGATTTTCAAAACAGAGGTTTAAGCTTTCAAATACAAATTCAAAGGCAAAACTCATGCATGGCTTGTCTTTAAAGCTGGAAAACTTATCCATAAACATGAATACATAATCCTTTACAAATCCTTTGCTCAAAATTCATGAATTTAACCAAAATTGGGCTCAAAACTTGCATGCAAGTTTTATAAACCTTTTTCTCAAATCCCATGTTTTAACAAACTTGAGCTCAAAAGCTCCATGCATGTGGAAAATTCATTTTCAAAACATGAATTTAAATGGTAAAACAAGATGATTCACTCATACATGAGCCGAATAACTTACAATAACAATTTAGATGCTCAAAATCAAACTTAACATGACAAGGTTCAACATGCATGTAGGATTCTTTTCAAAACTTCTTCAAACGTGGAATTTGCTTTCAAAGCTTGATCTAATGTGAATGCATGTTAGTTTCATGGTCCCATGGTCCAAACTCAACATAATGATAGAGCTTATGATCAAAATGATGATTAACACTCATGAACGCATGCATGCATGAATTACAACTCAATTCTACATTCTAAGCTCATAATATGCAATTAAACTCTTATTCTTCGTGCATTCTCATGTTTGATGATTTAGGTTTACAATTTATGAGTTGAATTCTTACCTAGAGTCTCCAAATTCTCTTGTTCCTGTACAATCTTAAGCTTATAAACAATGATCTTCAAGTTCTCTTTCACAATCTACACTTTCTCACTCTAAAAGTGCACTCTCTCTCTCTCTCTCTCTCTCTCTCTCTCTATAAAATATAATCTCAGATTTTAGGAGTCCAAAATGATGAAGGGATGAGCTCAAATGAGCTTAAGGGCGCACTTATATAGTTGTAATGCCATAATACATTAATTGGAACCTTAGGCTTGCCAAACACAACTTAATTAATCAGACTAAATCAATTTTTAATAAAATTTGTCATATGATTATAAAAATTTCGAATAACATATTGATATAACTAATTTTAGTTTCGGATGTCAATAAGGTTTTCAATTTTCAGATCAAAGCTGAATTTCAGACAGATATTTCTACGAGTAACAGATAGAAAGCCAAATAGCATACAAAATACACAATAAACACATAATTTATTTTAATCACTTGATTAATGGTCTTAATTATGGATTAGTAATTTAATTACGGATCGGGGTTATTACAATATCAAACAGTTTGTTTATTTTGTTTTATTCAAAAAAGAGAGAGTCGTTCTTCGGTGGATTCTATGGAAGTTTGACATGAAGTTTTGGTGGATTCCAGAGTAGCTCATCATCGTGGATTCGACATCGGCGTTATGGATTTAACGTTGGACAAGACAATTCCGAGGTGAAAACGGTGATGGAAGAGACACATTGGGGTCGGTTCAATTTGGGCATGGATTCGCTATATAATTGAGAGTACACTTGTTTAGTTCCTTTTTGTCTTCTTAGTGGATTGTTTTGTGGTTTTGGTCTGTGATTTTTTTTTATCACAATTGGAGGCACTCCAATTGTGATTTTTTATGTTAAAATCGTTGTATTGATTTGTCCTTGATTATTTGATTGGGATTGCTATTTACTGGTTAAAATTGATACATAATCACAAATCAATATCTCGGGAATTTTAGATTTTTTACCACAATATATAACAAAGCAAAATTTTCTCGGCTCTTCTAGTTTTTATTTTTACAACTATAGTGATTTAAAAAAATGGTCCCATTTTTTTTTAAAAATTATTGTAAGGGCCTTCTAATTTAGAAAGGCTTAAAAATAAATAGAAAAGGACATTTAAAAAAAAAAACCAAAAAGATAAAAAAATAAAATAAAAAAATATAATAAGGTCCATTTGATAATTGAATATTTTAGTTGATATTTTATTTTATTTTTTTACAAAAAAATATGTCAAAATATAAAAAGAATAATGTGACAACTTTTAATGACTTTTTAACTAAAATTCAATATCCCAAACGAGATCTAAAAAAGATTGTTGCTTTTTGCCAAAGCCCACGTAAATATTGTGGGTGGCATTGTAGATTTTGCAACTCCAACCATAGCCATCAAAGATTCGGGTAGCAAAAGTTGCTCTCTCAATGACAGCTCAAAAGGTTGCTCTATCAATAATGTTTGAATGCTTTTGTTTTTTGGCACCGTAATGTTCGAATGCTGGGGACCCATGAACAAAATTATATAACTATGCCCGCATTACTTAACAAAAGAAGCTCCTTTAGTCAACTAATCCAAAGGGGCTTGGTAAGGTTTTGATTAATAAACTTTGAGCTTTCAAATTCTATTCTCTTCGCGATCAATTATTTGGGCAACAATACATATAGTTGGTAGGATGAATCTTTCAAGTTTGGGTAAATTGTACCCAATGTCAAGATTATAGGTTCAAATCTCCACTTATGTGCAAGTCTGCGACTTACTACTATATGATTAGTGGCCCTGCTATATAATACTGCCTAAGGTGACTTCTGCAGTCTCAACTTCTTAGGATATAACCTCAGAGGTCACCTCCCTATAGTTAAATTTTTTTTCTTTTGGTCAACTTTTTATTACATTTGTACACACAGCACAAATAAGATGGTAGAGTGGGAACTGAAGAATTAGTGAAAGTTCAAGGGAAAACCAAATATCTATAACAAATATAAAAAGAATATAAGAATGGTGTAACACTGGTGCTTGGTGGTGTAACTTTGTTGCTTCTTTGGTTTGTAAGGACTCTTTCCTTGCAGATTTGGCCTGACCACGTGGCCTGCAAATTAGCCACACATATGACAGTAGAAGAAAACAAATTTCATCATCAGTGCTATAGATTTTCCAAAGGTTTCCTGCATATATTTTTTTCACTACTGTTTGCTTCATTTCCAATACCATTTCTCTTAGAAATGTCCCCAAAACGATGGTCTGCTGTTAGGCTATTTCCCAAAGCTCCTCCATGCAAAATTTTCTTGCAGATTTTGGGTTGCCCACATGGAATTCAAATCGTCCACGCCGACAATGAAGAAGAAAACAAATTTTACCCCTTCGAACAATAGGCCTCACCGATTGGCACTCATGATGATGGCTGGATTTTGTTTTTCATGCCATGTGTTTCTGCATCAAACATGGGATTTCTCATAAGATATATATATCCTCTGGATGGAATTGTTGTTACCCTATTCTTCCCATCACTGTTGGCATTGTTGCTGCCATATCGTTGTTGAAATTAGCCATCCAAAGCTCTGCTCCTGCTGTTGTAAATCCTGGTAAGTATATCTGTAATTTGTTGCCAACTATTTACAAGTGTGTTGCACAATATTTTCCCACACTGTTCTCAAAACTAGGCATATGTTAAACAGATGCACACCATGTGTTTATCAATATATCTCAATAAATAAAGAGTTTACCAGGCTTAATTTTCTGAATTAAATTACATATTTGTCGTACACATTTCACCTGGAACCTACCATAGTTAATTGAACAGAAGCTACTCACATCATGCTTGAACAAAAATAAACTCCTACGAACAAAAAACAGGAAAGACAAAGAAGCTTTACAAACCCATCCAATTTTCTAAGTTTAAAATCCAAATCCAACCAATAGAAATGTATGATATATTACTTGACAATATAAAACAAATAAATAAAGAAAATGAAAATCCAAAAAAAAAAGAAAAAAGAAATCATTGAAGCTTCCAAAACCAAAACCAAAAACATATGAAGTTTCTAAAAGGAAATTTTCTTTCGTAGAGCACCAATAATGAAGCTAAGGAATCTACCTATGAATTTAGCAAGGAAATAATTCTGCAGGAAAAATTTCTCCTCTTGTGCTATAAGAATGTAGTTACTTTATCTACATACTTGAATAGATACTCATAATTTAAATTTCTCAAAAGTGCTCTCTCTGTTGGTGTTTCCTGAACTTGGTTGATGGTATTTTTGGAAATATCAAGTCTTTTACCATTGTTTGATTTGTTTGAGTTCAGTGTTATTGGGTAAATCTATTGCTAATTAAAAATTTCAACAAAAGTGATGATTCAAGATCAATCTCTAATTCTTATTGTTTGTATGTAAGCATTTCCTGTTATCCGTATGTTATTGTTTGTTGTATCAAAAATGCTGACTCAAGATCAAACTTGAATTCTTGTGGAAGTAAATCTTATTGCTAATTAAAATTTAAACAAAGGGCCAGGACTTATTTTATGCATATCATATATTACTTGTAGTTTGAACATAGCAAACAGTAATAACACAACAACCGCGCTGCATACCCCCAGTGGGAGTCGCGTCCCCAGTGACGTGGCGCGCCCCCACTGGCCGAAAACTTAAAAAAATAAAAAAATAAAAAAAGTTTTTTTTTTGGGCCAATCCCCCAGTGACACCTCACTGGGGGTCGACCCCCAGTGGGGGTAGGAAGCATTTTTGAATAACACAAAATGCTTATATTCCACCTTTCTCAAAATAACAACATCTTCTCAAAGTCCAACCATTGCAATTAGTGTTGGAAAAAATGAGTTTTTTAATTAAATATTAAAGTGAGTCCCAACCATCTTTTGTATTGGGTCCAAGTAGGTCTAGATACTTTGCAATGAGATCTTTACACCACAAAAAGAATGGCCAAAAACCATTAAGAATTGAATGAGAACTTGCCTCATGAAGTTAGCTTCATGAAAGAGGTAGTGGGATAGTGTATATAATATGTTTGTAACTCCTGCAATATTGTAGAGGTTAATGGTGCATTAGTGATTAGCCATAAAGGCAGGTTAATGGTGCATTAGTGATCAGCCATAAAGGCTGGAGGCTCCTTCTCTCTCTCCTATACATGTATAAATTGAAACCCTCTTGTCTAGTCTCAACACAAAAATTTTTGCTTCCATTTTACAAGTTTGTTTGCCAGAAAGTTCCTACAGTGAGAGAGTACTGTCACGGGTTTTTGTTCACTAAGCTAGACAGAGAGTATTTCTGCCGTAGCTGGTTTTTTTACCATCGTATCCTGTGAGACAGATGCCGAAATTCCTCAAGCACTCGACCCGTGAGGCGGCGAAAATCTGTTTTAAGGAAATTGCTACCGTACAGGTTTCGGTTTGCTTTCCTTATCATTTTATTGTATTAGGTATTTCTATTGTAATTTAGTTGTAATTCTCAGCATGTATTCTTGGTATATAATTTTAATTTATTCGTGAATCTAGTTGTATAATTTCACAATTTGGACAAGAAGCTTAAAATAGATTTTATGCATTTTTCTAGGAAATTGAACAAATAGTTTTATATGAATTAGGTGTATACACTGTTTCATTACTGTGTGTCATACTACGTTGTCCAGATTTTTTAGATTTCGGTGAATAAACAGTATGTCCAGATTTTGTCTACACCACTGTTTGCATATGGAAGTCATAATTAGGAACTTACAATAAGTGATATATAAATATATGTTTGTGTGACTGTTATAGAATATATATACTCACCAGCATGATTAGTAGCATGATATACAATAGATATTTAGTTGTTGATTGTTACAGTTTCCGGATAATTCGAGTTGTATGGTATTGACTAGAGAATTCAATTGCATGAGTCTTAGTGTCTATTACATGGAAGTTATTCAAATTAATTGTCAGATATTGCTACTTACTTTGGTTTCAGTTTTAGACATTTAATTTCTATAGAAGGCCACTATTTCAAAGAATAATTCACTGTTATGCATGAAAAAAAGAATAGTCTACTATTGCAATTAAAATTACTTAATAATTAATTAATTGATTTGCAGTCTACTGTTGCAATTGAAATTATTTAAATTAATTGGTTTATGGTCTATTGTTTAGTTTATTTAAAGTGAATAAATAAATTTTTTCCATGCTTTGTATTTCTTGTGCTTTATCATGATTTGCATGGTTTTAATTTTATAATATAATTTGCATACTTTTGGGTGTTGAAATTTTTGACATGTTAAATATTTTCTAGAATATTTGCATTGCTAGAGTCACTTGTATGATTAGTGTAAATTAAGTTCTACGTAACTCTAGCCTATTAATTTTGTAGTTTAAGGTTTTGGAGTTATCAAATTTTTATAACTTGTCTAAATTTATGTACATGAATATTGCGTAATTTAATTGGGTGAATTAATTTTTTGAATTAAATTTATTTATTTGGAGTTATGACTATTAAATTTTATTTTAAAGTTGTAATTTAATTTGGAGTTATAAATTTTATTTTAAAGTTGAATTTAATTTTGAAGTTTTAGTTTTATTTTGTAACTCTTGCATATTAATTTAATTTATTTATTTAGAGTTATAAGGTTACATGATTATTGTTTTGTATAAATTGATATGTAACTCCTGAATATTAATTTAATTTATTAATTATTGTCAATTAAATTGATATGTAACTCATGGCTAGAAATTTAATTATTTATGAGGTATAAAGTTTTGTAACCTTTGTAATAATTTTATTTTTGTAACTTATCTAGCATGTTAATTGTTTAGTTAATTTTATTATTAATTAGTTTGCTAGATGATTTCAATTAATTTATTATATTTATTTTCTGCCTAGATTATTTGGTATATATTTTTCTTTTGGTTTTTCTGCTAACCTTTTTACAGGAATACCTAAGCGTGGAAAAGAATTGTTTGGACTATATTATTTAAGCAATTTTACTTGAGATTTAGTAGTGGTTACTTGCCAATTTTTTAAGCAAGGTTGTTTGCTTGGCATATTAGAAGCATTTTTTTTTGCTCATCTTTGCTGTAGCAATTTTTTTTAAAAATTTTTTATATTGCTTGTAATTGTTAGCAATTTTATTCTAATTGATTGTAAGTTTGAAACTGATTTGTTTTAACCAAGTTCATCTCTTGGAAAATTTAATTCTTAAAATTGTTTATCACGGACTAGGAGTCAACATGCACTTGAAAGTTTTGTCAAAAGGTTAACTGGATTTTAAGTGGGACTGATGTGACCTCTCCAGTCTTCCTAGGAACATTTTTGACCATGTTCGATTCTAGGTTAAGTGGTGAGACTAGTTTTTGAATTAAATTTCTAACTGTGGGATTTTTTAAGGGTTAAATTTAATTTCTAAAAACACAGAAAGTGATATTCTATTGTATTTTTCAGAAATGGCAACTATCACCAACGATGCTGTTACTGCTAATGTTGGTGGGGATTTGAATCTCGAGGCAACTGACTTGCCAACCTCAACTATGACCTTTGTGGTCAACCCTAGTGTTACTTCGGCTGTTCCAGGAGGATCACTCAGTCACCATGAGCGCCCAGAGAAATTTGCTAGGGTGAATTTCAAGAGATGGCAGCAAAAGATGTTGTTCTACTTGACCACGCTGAACCTTCCAAAGGTTTTGAGTGAGGATCCTCCAGCTGTGACAGAGAATGAGCCAGACAGGAAGAGAGTCATGGCACTTGACACATGAAAGTAGACAGACTATCTTTGCCGAAACTATGTGTTCAACAGCTTGGCAGACTCATTTTATAGTGTGTTTTTTGCCAAGAGTTTAGCAGAAGAGTTATGGGAATCTCTGGACAAAAAGTACAGGACTGAGGATGTTGGGGCAAAGAAATTTGTGGTTAGCCAATTCTTGGACTTTAAAATGGTAGATTCAAAAACTATGACAAGCTAAGTCCAAGAGTTCCAAGTGATCTTGCATGAAATTCATGGTGAGAGGATGCCTTTGAATGAGTCATTCCAAGTTACTATGATCATTGAGAAACTTTCTAATGGTTGTAAAGACTTCAAGAACTACTTGAAGCACAAGCGCAAGGAAATGTCAGTTGAAGAGCTGGTTGTCCGACTCCGGATTGAAGAGGATAATAGAAAGAAATGAGGGAGTACCTCCTCTATGAAGGCCAATGTCATCGAGCATGACAAATCTTCTGGGGTGAGGAAGAAGCCCCTTGTGAACAAGGGCTCAAATCTAGGGCCAAGGGATGTTATTGCAAAGAAGTTGACATATAAGCCGCAGGAACCTGGTTATCGAGTTTTAGGGAAGTGCTACAACTATAGTAGTGAGGGGCATCGGGCTAGTAACTGCCGCAAGCAGAAGAAGCCAAACAAGACCAAACCTCGTGCTCACATGACAGATATGCAAGAGCACTCACTACAAGAAAAAACACTTTTGGCGACCACCTTTTTTTTTTGGTCGCAAATAGTCCACTTTCTGGGACCAAAATTTAACTTTTGGCGACTGTTCTACTTGACCACGCTGAACCTTCCAAAGGTTTTGAGTGAGGATCCTCCAGCTGTGACAGAGAATGAGCCAGACAGGAAGAGAGTCATGGCACTTGACACATGAAAGTAGACAGACTATCTTTGCCGAAACTATGTGTTCAACAGCTTGGCAGACTCATTTTATAGTGTGTTTTTTGCCAAGAGTTTAGCAGAAGAGTTATGGGAATCTCTGGACAAAAAGTACAGGACTGAGGATGTTGGGGCAAAGAAATTTGTGGTTAGCCAATTCTTGGACTTTAAAATGGTAGATTCAAAAACTATGACAAGCTAAGTCCAAGAGTTCCAAGTGATCTTGCATGAAATTCATGGTGAGAGGATGCCTTTGAATGAGTCATTCCAAGTTACTATGATCATTGAGAAACTTTCTAATGGTTGTAAGGACTTCAAGAACTACTTGAAGCACAAGCGCAAGGAAATGTCAGTTGAAGAGCTGGTTGTCCGACTCCGGATTGAGGTGGATAATAGAAAGAAATGAGGGAGTACCTCCTCTATGAAGGCCAATGTCATCGAGCATGACAAATCTTCTGGGGTGAGGAAGAAGCCCCCTGTGAACAAGGGCTCAAAGCTAGGGCCAAGGGAAGCTATTGCAAAGAAGTCGACATATAAGCCGCAGGAACTTGGTTATTGAGTTTTAGGGAAGTGCTACAACTATAGTAGTGAGGGGCATCGGGCTAGTAACTGCCGCAAGCAGAAGAAGCCAAACAAGACCAAACCTCGTGCTCACATGGCAGATATGCAAGAGCACCCATGATGAGGATGACATACACTTGTCTGCCGTTGTCTCTGAGGTGAATATGGTGGGTTCAAATCCAAGAGAATTGTGGATTGTTACTGGGGCTACACACCACATATGCTCCGAGAAGAAGCTGTTTACAACTTTCGAGCCAGTTACAAACAGTGAGAAGTTGTTTATGGGAAACTCTGCTACCTCAATTATTGAGGGGAAAGGAAAGGTGGTCCTGAAGTTGACCTCAGGAAATGAGCTAACCTTGAACGAAGTCCTGTATGTTCCGGACATTCGCAAGAATCTTGTCTCAAGGTCTTTTTTTAGCAAACATGGTTTTTGCATGATTTTTGAGTCCGACAAGGTCATTCTGACCAAGAGCGGAGTGTATGTGGGTAAGGGTTATATGTTGGGGAGGTATGTTTAAACTCAATGTAATGACTGTTATCCCAAAAAGAAATAAAGATGCATCTTCTTCTACTTATATGCTTGAGTCTTCCAATTTGTGGCATAGTAGACTAGGACATGTGAACTTTGAATCTTTACGTAGATTAATCAAGTTAGATCACATACCATCTTTTAAGATTAATCCAAAATACAAGTGTGAAACTTGTGTTGAAGCGAAGTTGACAAGATCTTCGTTTCATTCTATTGAAAGAAGTTTAAAGCCGTTGAACTTAGTGCACAGTGATGTGTGTGACTTAAAGTTTATACAATCACGTGGTGGCAATAAGTACTTCATCACTTTTATTGATGATTGCACTAAGTATTGTTATGTGTATTTGCTCAAAAGCAAAGATGAGGCTATTGACAAGTTTGTTCTTCATAAGAATGAAGTTGAGAATCAATTAGGCCGCAAGATTATGTCTTTAAGCAATAATCATGGTGGTGAGTATGAATCACCGTTTATTGAGATTTGTGCTCAATCCGGGATTATCCACCAAACCACGGTACCTTATTCTCCTCAATAAAATGGGATTGCTGAGCGGAAGAATAGGACGCTAAAGGAAATGATGAATGCAATGTTGATAAATTCTGGATTGCCACTGAACATGTGGGGGGAAGCAATTCTTTTCGCGAATTATGTTCTGAATAAAGTACCTCGGAAGAAGGTGGACAAGACCCCATATGAGTTATGGAAAGGCTTTAAGCCTTCTTATAAATTCTTATGAATGTGGGGGTGTCTTGCAAAAGTGGCGATACCTACACCCAAACGGGGTTAGGATAGGCCCGAAATCCGTAGATTGTATATTCATTGGTTATGCACATAATAGTAGTGCATATCAGTTTCTTGTACATAATTCTGAAATTTCAAACATACACAGGAATACCATCACGGAGTCAAGGAATGCATGTTTCTTTAAAGACATTTTTTCGTGTTGAACCCAAGAAGGGGTTCCGAGGTCTGTGGAGCAATTTGAGGAGCTTGCTAGTGATGATGATCATTTTGATGATCAAGGTGATGATCAAATTGAGGTTTTAGATAAGCCTAGAAAGAGTAAAAGGGTTATGGTGTCTAAGTCTTTTGGTCCAGACTTCTTGACTTATATGGTTGAGAACGAATCTCAAACTTTTCACGAAGTTGTGACTTCTCTTGAGAGTCCTTTGTGGAAAAAAGCGATCAAAAAGTGAGATTGACTCCATCTTACAGAACCACACCTGGGAGTTAGTGAATTTACCTCCAAGTAGTAAGCCTTTAGGCTACAAGTGGATTTTTAAAGAAAGATGATGGCCGATGGGTCAATTGAAAAGTATAAGGCTAGGCTCATTATCAAAGGGTATGTGTAACGAGAAGGCCTGAATTACTTTGATACGTACTCACCTGTAACGAGGATAACATCCATTCGCATGGTGATTGCGATAGCAGCTTTACGCAATCTGAAGATACACCAGATGGATGTAAAGATAGTTTTCTTAAATGGGGATTTGAATAAAGAAATCTACATGGAGAAACCTAAAGGTTTTTCAGCTCCAGGGCAAAGCAAAAAAGTTTGTAAACTTGTCAAATCATTGTATGGTTTGAAGCAAGTACCTAAACAATGGCATGAGAAGTTTGACAACGTAATGTTGTCAAGTGGGTTTAAAATCAACGAATATGACAAGTGTGTTTATGTCAAAGACACTGACAGAGGTTATGTCATTTTGTGTCTATATGTTGATGATATGCTTATTATAGGTAGTAATGATGAAATGATCAAAACTACCAAGAAGTTGTTAAACTCTAAGTTTGACATGAATGATATGGGCGTCGCAGATGTTATTCTGGGAATCAAGATTACCAGAACATCTGGCGGAATTGTACTTTCTCAATCTCATTATATTGATAAGATACTTGAGAAGTTTAGTGGATCAGATATGAGTATGTCACCGACACCTGTAGACTTAGGTCTACATTTTACCAAGAATAATAAGAAGAGTGTCTCTCAGTTAGAATATTCTCGGGTAATTGGAAGTTTGATGTATCTAATGAGTTGTACTAGGCCAGATATAGCCTACTCAGTTAGTAGGTTTAGTAGATACACGAGTAATCTCGATGCTACTCATTGGAAGGGCATTGTGTGAGTGTTAAGGTATTTATGCTACACTCGGGATTATGGGTTGCTTTATACTCGATATCCAGCGGTGCTAGAAGGCTATAGTGACGTGAATTGGATATCAGATATAAGGGACTTAAATGTGTTCACTCTTGGTGGGGCAGCCATGTCTTAGAAATCTTCCAAGCAAACGTGTATATCTAGATCAACGATAGAATCAGAGTTTATTGCTTTAGATAAAGCAACGGAAGAAGCTGAATAGCTTCACCATTTCATTGAAGATATCCCACGTTGGTCTAAACCTATGCCAGCTATTTGTATTCATTGTGATAGTCAATTTGCAATTGGTAGGGCACAAAGTAATATCTATAATTGAAAGTCTAGACATATCTGTTGTAGACATAATTTCATACGACAACTACTCTCGAATGAAGTTGTCTCTATAGACTATGTGAAGTCTAAGGACAACATTGCAGATCCGCTAACCAAAGGGTTAAATCGGGTGTTAGTCAAGACGTCGTTAAAAGGAATGAGGCTGAGGCCTTTGGAAGTTATCGGAATGGAAACCCAACCTAGTTGACTGGAGATCCCAAGATTTAGGTTCAATGAGATAACCCAATTGCGTGTAACAATGGCATGTCACTGTGGGGGTAACACCCTCCAGCCATTCCTTTAAGCAGTGATACCTGTAGGGGTGAAGGTTAAGCAAAGCTTTTAATGACTCTTATGTGTTGAGGATTCAAATAGAGTATAGCATGATACTTTGAAGAGTCACCTATGTGAGTGTGAAGTGGGGCTGCTTCTAGAAGAATTGGAAAGGCCACAGAAAAAAAAAAAAAAAAAATTCTTTGAAACCACTCGCTGAACTAGGTTAGTGCTCAAGGCCATACAGGGCACACCAGTGAGAACATAATGGTGGTAAGAGTAATTCCTGTGTGAGATTTATTGTCTCAGTTTACATAAACGGCAGAGCAGCTTAAGATGTCATATTCACTGATCAGCCAGTAAACTCGATAGGTTTTCACTAGAAGAGGTTCAAAGCCAAAAGCTACCTTCTCTAATGCCTGGGTTAGTTCATTGTACTCTCTTTCCGAGTCATTATTATTGAACAGTGTCCGTTTGTTGAGTCATTCGGACAATTTTTATTCATGTGGGGAATTGTTGGAAAAAATAGATTTTTGGTGACTTTAATTAAATATTAAAGTGGGTCTCAACCATCTTTTGTGTTGGGTCCAAGTAGGTGTAGATACTTTGCAATGAGATATTTACACCACAAAAAGAATGACAAAAAATCATTGAAAATTGAATGAGAAATTACCTCATGAAGTTAGCTTCATGAAAGAGGTAGTGAGATTAGTGTGCATAATATGTTTATAACTTCTGCAATATTGCAGAGGTTAATGATGCATTAGTGAGCAGCCATAAAGGCTGGAGGCTCCTTCTCTCTCCTATATACATGTGTAAATTGAGACCCTCCTGTCTAGTCTCAACACAAAAATTTTTGCTTCCATTTTACAAGTCAATTTGCCAAAAAGTTTGTGAGAGAGTGCTGCCACGGTTTTTGTTCGCTAAGCTAGACAGAGAGTGTTTCTGCCATAGCTGGTTTTTTGACCATCATATCCTGGGAGACAGAAGCCGGAATTCCTCAAGCACTCGATCCGTGAGGCGGCGAAAATATGTTTAAGGAAATTGC